AAAAAATGAACAAGACAACCAAAAAATAAAATCATTTAGTAAAAAAATCAAACGATTCAGTCATTCAAGGTGACAGCAGTATCGGCACAGGAGAAATTGAAATGGGACTAGCAGCAGAAATAACGGTGCAAACGCCCGTTCAGTCGGTTGTCTTCATAAGTGAGTGTGATCAGGTGATGGTTGTAATGAGTGAGTGACTGAATGAACGAATGAATGAGTAATTGTGGATGCATATAACTTACAGCCACCATAGGTGCGTGTATGTTGAGGTTACGATGCCAATGATGCGATTCTAAACGGACTCGAACACGCATGCAAAAGTGAACGGTTAGATGGGAAGAGAAATAGCCTCCGGTTTTGTCGCTCCTTTTTCGAACCGAAACAAGGCCACCAGGAGAGATGCAGAAGCACATTATCGATGGAATTCAAGGGAGAAATTGAGTAAACCAATGGAAGCGAATGAATGTGGATGTTGGACCGTGATCATCTGGAACAAGATGCAAGTGCGTTAGCGTACCGAGAACTTGTGATTACAAAATATAAACAGCAAAAGGATGAAAGATAATTGGGACAGTTCATACAATCATACAACCTGCAATATTGTTCACCACTTTCGGTTACTTTTCTTCGAAAATGCATTTGATGGACCATCGAAAAAATATTGGGAATAAACGAAAATTTCTATTGAGTCATATTTGATGCGAAATTTTTCACGATCCTTAGCTACATCACTCGGTATATTCAAACATCTCTGGGTCAAATCCCGAGAACACGAATGCGAGAACATAACACGATCCCGGTAATGTTATTCACGGACCAAGGTTTTCATACCATGTAAGAACAGTCGGAGGCAAGCTTGTATTCGATGATTATTCCACTGACTAATGAATGGTAATTTTTCATAACGTTTGATGAGAAAAGACTCCTTAAAGAATGGGCAACATCCGGTTACAAAACAGAAATGTGATTCTTCTCCCATTCTGTAATGGATCTTTTCTCACCAAACATAACGATGCAAGTTATGCTGTACAGGTGTTGAGCAAACATCACTTTCATTTCGGTAATACTTTTCAGTTTTCAATATCATACTTGTATATTGATGGTTTTGGATAAAGTGTATTTATCCCTAACTTTGTCTCCCACTTCTATGTTCTTAGTTCTCATCGATTATCGTTAGAATTTGCGCGACCTTGATTATCGCGATAAAATTTGTAGCAGTTCAGAAGGTACGGCTCAGATTAGGAAAATATTTTATGCAAAGCAGCATGGAAGTTCATTCTTTATAATGAATGACTCCTGATCCGTGAGAGCGTTTATTCTGGCCACCACACGGATTCTAAATAGCTTATCTCTTTTTATTTAGTGCACATTAAATAAGCCAATAGATGAACCTTTTCCAGCTTGAATAAATTGAAAAATTATATGGCTACAAGCTACTCAGGCATTATCTATAATACGGAAAGAACTAAACATATATTCCAGGAGACATAAACGCTGTCCTGCGAAAGTTTACCTTGAAGTGTGCGGCTCGTTGAATAAGCGTCTGTGGTGTTATCATGCCGAAACGGGATGAAACATTTAATAGATTTCAGTTTATTTGAAGCCGAGAAGCAACTTATTCTAGATGCACATAAATTGAACGACTCAGTTCTTGGCTTGCGCAAGTGTTTTGATGTGAAAATAAGCCCAAATTATTGCACAATCGACGGAATTTCTCCACCAAGAAATAGACCAAGAGGCAGAAGCCCGATCACATCAAAGCGAGACGATTGTTAAATTTAATAGCGGCTGGGGAAAGTTGCACATGACCAATGTGGCGAATAGTCCGGGAGAATTAACCGTTTTTTCCTCACGCTTTCGTTGGGAAAATGATGGTTTAATTTGAAATACAGCTGGGGCCACCTGACATTATTATTGAACACCCAACAAAGCAGGGTACGTACTGATTTCACAAACAAATTGAAATCGCGTCGCCCGTCCATTTCGCATTTGGTTTACCTCATTGGTGGACAGGGAGCAATTCAGCAGGCAGAGAAAGCTAACCTACTAACCTAGTTCTCAAATGAATTTCTTTTTACCTGTCAAAAGAAGTACATGTCCATTCCGCCTAACTAGTTTTAAGGGAAGTACATATTCAGCGCCTTGTTGTTGATCTCCCGCACCCACCAATCTAGATATCGTAAAATTCCTTGCATTGATAAGGGAGGTTTCGATAACTTTCAATCTCAAAATGCACTGGCGGAAGTCATATTTTTCACAGATGAAGGTAAGTATATGTTCTCACTTGAGATTGGCAGCAGAAAACCGTATTAATGTTTTTCACAATTATGCAGTTTATAGAGGGGTCAAGATCAATGTTGAACTCATTTAATTACCATCCAGTGGTTGGGATTTGAATGTATTCGAAAAATTTTCCGTGTTAGAAACGGGGATAAGTTAGCTGCCTCGACAGTGGTCGTTAATGGTTAGGGTGTGGTATGTATTAGAGGAAGCTGGCAAATTCTGTTAGACAGTAAACTTGGCAAACTCCATACGAAAGTGACTGCCTACAGTGCTCAAAAATGAAGGGCAAATAGAACATGACGGCATGAAAGTACAATACCTGTATGAAGTCTTTGGGTTATTTTGACAAATAAATTATCATTGTTTTTTACTGTGGCTTTTTAGTTTACAACCAGCAACCACCGTCAGAATCGATAAATCGTACATTTTAATGACATTCGGTTAGTAGAAGCAAGGTCATAAGTGAATATTATTACAGATATGTTGCGTTTGATGTGAAGCAATATCATATTTAATCATGTGAATGAGGCTGGAAATACTGAGTATTAGGAGGAGCAAATGTGATGAAAGTGTCAGGATGCAGCACGCGTTTGGTCAAGACCTGTACTGGTCAAGCGATGAATCCCCGAAAAACCAGCTTGTTTGCGACTGATTTTCTTACATTTTTCGTGCATGCCGAACAAATCTAAATCGAACGAACACGTTCATGTTTTACTACGACAGCAGTAAAATGAACACCAAGAATTGACTTTGTTCAAATCTCCAAAGAGAACATAAGGCTAACGAATATAACTTCCCGTGTGCTTTGTGCACCTACTGAATCGCCTATGTGAACCGTTACATCCACATCATACAAATTGGTCAACGACGAAAGAAGCACACTGAATGAGGCGTTACGTGAACCATGGGCACGACGCATAAAGTGCGATGCTGCTTGCACTTTGTCGCAGTTTGTGGTATGGTCAGGTGAACTTTAGTTCATACGTCAATCAACACAACAAACCACGTGAAGCACGGAAAAAGGATCTAATCAATAATGTTGGGGTCGGGAACTACCGAAAGCAGACTGGAAAGAACAAACCAAATCCCAAAATAGTGACCGCGACTCGCTGCGAAAAACGAGGTCGTGTAAAGAAAGCATCAGAATTCCCAAAACTATTGTTCAGGACATTCACCTAGCAAAGAGATTATCGAAAGGTGACCATCACAACACTCAGGACGACATATATCATTTGATCGACGTCAACTGTGAAAAACGAACCTCGCTGAATACAGTGCAAATAGCCTTAAATAGTCTGTTCAAGGTGATCGAATCGGGAAACCATTATGATTTGTGGTGCATAAGATGAGGAACGTTCGTATGGGATCTGATATTGTCAGAAATGCTTCAAGAGGATGGTTTTGCCAAAACAGGAACAGAAGACTGCACTGCTGAAACAGCACTTTTAAGAACCTACGCGATTGTGTGACCAAATCGCGTATGTGTGAATAGACAAATACGTATCGAAGATCAATGAAATGCTTAAGCTAAACGAAAAACAAGAGACATGATTTAAAAGTAGGAGTAGTGGAGGATTTGATGCGGTGATGTTGTGGATTTCGTCGCGTACAAAGTAAACTAGGTGTGCAATGAAAAGCTAGGAAGCAATGTACAGATGTTTCGACCCGGTTCGTTCACATCAGCAGTGCGAATCCATTGAGTGAATTGCGGATCAAACCCGGGACCTCACAGGTAGAACGCAAACATACCTGCTAAATCAGTGGGTAGTTGGTCAGACCATTTTTCACTTTGTCTATTCGGAGTACAGCACAAATCATGTCTGCAAGCATCACATCATCATCTCAGTACTAGAGTCTAAGATTATGACTTGTTTGGAAACAGACCGAACTGGACTACTTGTTACATGGAAGCAACTGTGGTTCGGATTCCATTGATGAATTTCGTCGTGTACAGAGTAAACAAAGCGTGAACCTCGAGAACTCACAGATAGGACAGGACCCAGAAGGTTAGTGGTATGCTTCCCACAACAGGCTTCCGAATATGGGTTGTTCTATGTCGCAAACAGACGACATTAAAAATGGTTTGGTCTGATGCACTGTAGTTAAATCAGTAGTGTGTATTCAATAAGAGAAAGTAAAAATTGAAAACTCCCGCTAGGAATCTCAAATAAACTACAGCAATATAACTCCGAAACAGCTTGAAATTCATCGTTTCGCTTGAACTCGATGAGAAGTGAAACTCATCCTAACTGATGAAAGATACACAGTAAGCTAACAGAATGAAAATGAATAAAATATATCATGTTATAGACAGTCTCAGTTCGAGGAATCATTAGACATGCACATTCGTGCGGCGGCTTTGGTAACTCTCTTTTCGCTGCCCACTTGAACGAAGATTGGAAAGTTAAAAGCCGTGTCGAAAAGAAACTGGAAAACTCTGATGATGTAATATTTGCAATAAATTGAGACACACAAGCACCACTGTTTGAGACACAGCCTAATCACTTAGTGTCTCTAACCATTAATACCGCAGATCCTGAGGCCCTCATCCAGATAGCCGAATGCGACCTATGTGAGTAAGTCTCCCGGGTTAGGGTTTCAATACTCTCATTATAGTAGAGAGAAAGAAGAGCAAGGTGGAAAAATATCAGGTTATCGAGAAAAGTGAGTCAGCTTACAAAACTGGACCAGATACATTTCCTGAGTGTTTGATAGTGTTATTCGGTATCCCCGTTGTCTGTCTTGCCGTTGGCCTCGTCCGAAGAGCCTGCATCCATGGAATTCCACATTCCATCTGCCTGACTCAAGGCAGACAAAGCTGCTGTGTGATTCAGTGGTAATTTCAATTCTTCTCCTGTGTGAAACGAAGAATGAACGAAATAGACAAAAAAAGTGTAATTTAACCTAAAACACAAACATGAGGACGGTATCATTTGGCGAATAATATGATACAGTTCAGTTTACATACTGATGAAAGAACGGGAATTTTCGCCGGCATTAATCCAATGGCATCTAAACACCGAGTCATATCCTTTTAGTGACAGAAAGAGAAGGCATCTCGTATGATTTGAGAGCAAGAAGAATAGCTAAACAGATATTAATGTGGTTTTCCCAAATGGATGCCCGGGGCTCTGGGGTAAGATAAACTTCGCGTAAGCCCATATCGAAAGGCACTCCCCATCGGAAAGCCTGAATAGGGCTTTTGACTTAAAATTCGGAGTGGACAGTCAAAGGAGACCATGAGGTGCCCAATCTGCTGGCTTTGCGAAAAGGAGTTACGTCTGATCGATACCTATTGATCTTTCAGGCATGATTGGATCTGTGGCTGTGAGGAGATATCCTGCACGGCTTGTAAGGCCATGGAAGCACACAAGCCATAGCACAAATAGGATTGAAGGGACATACAGCTAAACAAAGTCTTCAAACAGAATTATATAAAACCGGTCAAATTGCGGATGATGTTACCTAGCCTGTCTACGAAAGGTCAGTCCATTCCGATGAAAGAGTAGAAGAAACACTGAAATGTTGAAAGAAGTGTCAAAGTGAAAATAGAGAACCCAAGAACACTGTTACAAGGACGATGAGTAGACGTACGACAGTCACTGTTTACGACACTCAGTTATATCATCTTGTTTCTAACCATAGGTTACGTTGATCCCGAGGCCCGTATCTAAGCTATGTGCGAGCTAGTCTCCTGGTCAGGGTTTTCATAGCCTCATGCCGCTCTTGACTCTATCGCCCATCACCTACCTCGGCGAAAATCGCATACCATGGCAATCTGTTTGTTGACATGCGCAACACATGGCCTTATGAACAGATAAAAACGGAACCAACTTCGACAACAAATTTTGATAACCAAGTATGGTAATCAACTCACATGACATTCCCAATGTAATAATACGAAAACCGTTAATCAGAAGACTGCCAATGATCATCATTAAATTTCATTTTGTTTCAACTTAGTGAGGATGCAGCCCAGTTTCGGAAAACAATGGTTGTCAGTGGAAACGGAGGATCTGAAGAAATAGCAGCAATTACGACTTTTTAGTACTAAAATGCATAGTCAAGCTGAACAGAACACATCACGTTTGCCAATGGGGCTGTGAAGCCCAGCATCGACCTTTCGCAGAACAACTTAAAGTTCGCAATTTAACTGCATCCATGGCGTTGGTGACACAAATTACACAAAAGAAATTGCCAGCTTTCAAGTTGAAGTCACATGCGTCGATAAAGTGAAAGCAGTAGAAGAAAGAGAGGATATGTATGGTAAGAAAATACAAACCTTGTTTCGAGCGACGTGTCAAACCACAAGGTGTGCTGTCCAAATCCAAGAAACTATCAAGAGGGGAATCTTCATGTGAGACTGTCGACTCGTGAGGCATGAGCATGGATGGAGCACGAAACATGTAGCACAATGGATAGAATATCAGATTGATACAGGAGAATGAGTATAGGTCGGCAAATCGTAGCACCTGAGACGAGAAGAAAGTGTGTCGAGAGCCTGTGGGAATGGGGACGGAAGAAAAAACGAGGAAAACTTAATACTTCTATTCGCGTGAATAAAGCATAAATACGAAGCTAATATCAACAGTCAATAACATCCTCTGACTAACTCGTCATCCTAGGGCGAAAAGTCATTCAAAGATACGGAACCCTACTAGATTAGCAACAATTTGAATGGCATGATTGCTGAAATCTAGCCAGATGTCAGAGCAATTATTTTATTAGCATTTTAGATTAACTTCGTTATCGCACTCAACTATGCAAACAAAAGGCAGTCTATTGAGAAAAATAACCCCAACTGATGACGGG